GTATCATTATATGTGACATCTACATGCCTGTTACAAGGTTTATAGTACGTAAATCTAAACCTAAATGTAGAATTTCATTTTAACGCATAAATTATAAAAAAAAATTGAGAGCCACTGGATTTTTTCTGTCTTTACTCTCCTCTAAATTTAATCCACTACCTATGTTGCCATATTATGAAGATAATCGGCTTTTTATCTGAAAATTTAAAAAAATCCAAAAACATTTTCAACAATTAGAAAGTTTTCAATTTTTCTTTCGCAAAAAAATAAATCTATAAACATTTGCACTTATTTAAGATTCATCCTATATAACTTAAAACTAGATGGAAGAAAACAAAAAACGATGTACAAATTTTTATACTTATAATAACAACGAAAACAAAAAGAATTGTTTTAGTTATTTTAACACGCAACGATGGAACCATTAAACAGTAATTTACTCACAATAGTTTTGGTTTTCCATCGAATACGGATATCAAGGCAATTATAAATAAATGATAATAATAATAATAATATAGGTCCCTTCCAATTAAAAATTCATTATAGAGGAATATTCCCAAGTTAAATAATACACGAGGAAAACAGCTTAGACAGATCTTTCAGCACTGATAGACAACGTTTTCGACGATTATCGACATTAAATGTTATTAAAAAATCTAAATTTTCTATGTTTTCACCTCAAAAAGTCAAAAATATATCGTTGAAAAGCAATTGATTTTTATTATTTTTTCAGTTATACAGGGTGCTACAATTGCACTTTTTCGTAGTCACGTTATTAGGGCTATCTGAGTATTTTTAGGTTTTCAAATTAGCTAATAATTTGTGGTAACCCTTTCGAACATGTAGAGCATTAGAAAATAGTTTGTAGAAGTTGATTTATTTATAGTAACTATGAATAATATGATGCATATTATTAGATCGTACACAGAGATTTCAAATTCACAATAAAAAAAATAAAAATAATATCTTTAAATTGCTGACCTGGATATTATCTCTTTGAATCTTTTAATTGGCTCGATTTTCTTTATTCAGTGTTAATTAGCGCTTATCAATATTGTTGCGATGAATATAATCAGATTAAATAATTTAAAAAACCAGAGTCGAGCTTGATATTATTTTAAATAATAATTAAATATTTTTGTTGTTGTTAAGGTGCCTAAAACAAAAAAAAGTATAAAGTGTGGCATATCATTGCACTTGTGAGACCGACTTCTTTGAAAACCTGAAATAAAAATGCAGGTCCTTATTTAAAAAAATTAGGTTGTTTGGACTCTGTATTTCACAAATTATCAGCTAATTTGAAAGTCTAAAATACTATCAAATAACCCTAATAAAGTGGTTATGAGATTGTGCAATTAGTATTTTGATTTTCTAAAAAGTAACGACAGGAAAAAATAAAATTGATTTTCCAAAAAATCCGGTTTTTTTTCCAAAAAACTCAGCTATCCTTGAAATTTAAAAAAAAAATTGATGGTATCTTGGTGAACATCCCAAGGCGCAACTTTGTCCCAATTTAACCATCTTCGTATCTATTACGGTTTCTGAAATACCAATACTCGTACCCCGAATTTGTAGCACCCTGTATACATAGGGTTAACAATGCGTAGGGCTGTCCTTCAAACTGCCAAAGTTTTGGCAATAGAATTAACAGAAAGCTTGTTACGTTAATATCAAGAATCTAGACGTACAAGAAGAACACGGATCAAACAATGGATTAGCTACAGTAAAAGAGAATAATTTTTGAGGTGTATCGAGTATTTGCAACGTTTCTAGTTTAACAAAAAAAAACATAAAAATATAAATGCGACTTTCATATAAAATAAGAAACAAATTATGTAGATTGCTATTTTTTGCCGGTTATTTGTTGTAAATAACCACTCTATATAAACTAATTTATCCAACAATGACGCCAAACAATTATGTGAATTGACGTCCAATTAAGTGAGTGTAAAAGTTCTAATTATTACGCTGTGCCAGTTTCACGATTTTATTACGATTTAAATTAGAAATAAAAAAATGCCCTGTAGTGCACCATTCAATGACATTACTACTTTTTACGCTAAGGTTAAGAGGTTAAAGAATGCATTTATTGGAATAATCAGTAATAGCTTCTTTGTATTGACTTTAATTTGTATTAATTTCTCTGCAACAGTGTCTTATTTTTTTTATTATTAGATATTATTCAAATCTTCTTAATCTTAAGACATACTTAGAAGAGTGGAGTACTTTGTGAATATAATAACAATATTGAGAGTTATTTCTTGCCACGGATTATTGCAACGATAGAGGATGAGACGATGCAATTTTACTACAAGATCGTATTTCTGATTTAAATTTAATTTTTAAGTTCAAAAAATTCATTGTGAAAACAATATTGTTTAGTTATTAAACTGTTTTTCAAAATTACATTTTTTTGTGAAATTATGCAAAAATATCTTATTTTTACAAGCTTTTTTTTATTAAAAATATTCTAATATATCAATATTTTTTTTTGTTTAATTACTTAAATTTTTTCAGTATAGATTTTTTTGTAGTGGCGAAAAGTTTCAGTTGTTTGAAAAGAGGCATGTCTACTAATTATTGTACTTTTAAAAGATATTGTATATTATTTCCAGCGCCTTTTAAATTATTCAAAACGAAAATATGACTTTAAAAACATATCATTCCCCGACCCAGTTTTCAAATTTTAAAAAATCATACATTCGCGTTTAGCGATGATAACAGAATAATTTACTATAGGCGTGTGTGTATATAATTTATAACATATTACGCCATTTTATATCAGTGTAAACATATATTTGTATTGTCTTTTACACTGAGTAGCGAGACTCAGCTTTTAAAAGAAAGATAGCGCCTTATCAAATTGATAGTGTATTTAATTTATATGGATTGTGTTTAATTTATAAGAATATTTTTTTTATGATTTTTTAAAGGTGTATAATATAATAACTACTTCCTTAGATTATAGAGAATTTTCAGGATTATACATCTACAGGGAGTTACTACACATAATCTGTTCATTAAAAAATGTTACATTTTTGTAGTTTCTTCTTGAAAAAAATCTAATTTAAATTTTATCTATCTTCTCTATTAAGAAGAACTCTATTATCTGGTGTTAAGATTTAAAACTGTCTAGTGATAAGCTAAAAATAGTAGTCGTTGCACTATACTTAATAGTAAACTGCAGTGATGCACAATCCACAATGAATAAAATTAATCTAAGGACTTTTTTGTCGAAATTTAAAAATTTGAACTTATAAACATACAGAATGTGGATAACATAGGACATGGCAGCATTGTATTCTCTGCAAGCACTAGAAACACATTTCCGGCGGCACTCAAACATTTTTGGTTTAAATGAATTGTGTTGTGATACTTTAAGCTTAATTTTTTTTGCTAGCAGACCTTGCAGTCGAACATTGTTCTTTTTAAAGCCCCCTTTTAGTGCGAAGTGGTGTAAAATAGCTTAATAGCCGTAAAAAACTCATCGCAACTTTATTAGAATATTTTGAACGGGAAAGCGGTAGTAATGCCTATTTATGCCCTCGAAGTGATGTTAAAAAAGTGAGTTTTGTTGATGTAAATAATAACTGTTTATATATTTATAATTAATATATTTTAGTTTCGTAAAATATATTGATTAAAAGAAAATATATAAAAGTGGGCAACGCTGTGCCGGCCAAGCTTAATCACGTGACTAAAAGTTTATTTAATATGAACAATAAATAAAAATTCCGATATTTTTTGCATGCTGGGGGTGATTTTTTTAGCGAAGGTTACATACTGAAACTGATGAAACATAAAAAAACACAACAGAAGTACTTCAAAGTGTTGCGTGTTTACACAAACCTAAGGTCACTTTTAGTTATATTTTCTAATTTTATTGCTTTATAACCTAAACAAATTAAGCTGAATAGAATAGCGAAATAAAATTAACGAATAATATGCCGAAAGGCTTTTGCTTTTATGTTTTTATTGGGTTATAAAAGTGCTCTGAATGCGGCCGGCAACAAATTCAGCATTGTATCGTAAAGAATAAAACAGAGAAGGGCAAATCGTTGAATAATAACTGGCACATAAACCGTTTCAATATGCCGGTCATAAAAATGACTCAAATGTAATCAGTGAGTCAATGAAAAATAGTTTATGTCCTGACATAACATCTAAAAAAAAGTTATAAACAAATATTTTTTTAACAAAATAAAACTAAAACCGTTGATTGAAAGAATTGGGAAGATACGCAACCTAATTCATGACAAGGCTGATTCGATTTCCCCTTACGTCTCAAGTGCTGTACGGTGGCGACACCAATCGTTCTGCGGTCAACGCATAAAACACTTATTTTCTCTAATTCGACCAATAAAGGCATATCGAAGACGGTGTGGAACTGAGAGCAACAGTGTCGCCATATTAAAATGTGTAATGTATGTAAAATGTTTGACGAAAATATCTTAAAAAATCCGCGTTTATGCATTGAAAATTTATTCGTGTTAAACATAGACTAAACAACAAAAATAAAAATTCTTTTATAGAGACTGAATATGTTGTATATTCGAAAAAAGTCGTTTAGTTGGCTTGGAAATGGCGAATTACTGACATTTACCATAATATTTTACATATGAAATAACAGCGATTTTCGTTTCCAAGCTAACTCTGGCGCCGTTTTTTGTTTAGTCATATAATATTATATTAAATTGTTTAATGATAAAAAATCCGTATTATTAATGTACTGTACCCAAAATCCGTAAATCTACGGATTAATTCGTAGTTCTGGCAACACTGTCTCCGACAACCACCCACTCTGTCGACTGAAAGCAGAACTACAGTACAGTATTCTTTATCCGCTGCGCTGTAAACGACTCAGAGCGCAGCGGCGCAGAGCTAAACTAAGGACATCTTAGAACAACGCTACAACTATAGTATTTGAGACAGTATGTCATAGATATTTTTATATAACTTATTTAACTAATATACTAATATGTATTTTTTTTTGGTTTCAGAACCGTCAAAAATGACTCTATGTACCAAACCGCCGCCAATGGAATCTAGCAGACCACAGAGGCGTCCGGGTCGGCCGCCTATAGGCAAGAAAATGATGAACAGAGAAATGCCCGGTAAACTGAGGTCGGCCTACAGACGAAGTCTGGACCCATGTGATAATTCAAACGACAGTGGTTTAGGGTGAGTCGAATCTATTTTATGTATACCTTTATACAGGGTGAGTCTTAAATAAGTACAAATATTTTCAGGACTGGCAGACCTCAATAAGAGAAAATTCAAAAAAATTTATTTATTTTTTAAAAATTTTGAGGGCCACCGGATTTTTTCTGTATTCGCATCCAGTTCAGTGCCGTAACCATAGTAATATTGGAGATTAAGATATTATACCGTGGGAAAATTTGGGGTGAACAGGCAGTTGTAAAAAGTTTTCTAAAATATACAGGAAAATTTCAAAGAAAATGTACGATTTTTAATATCTTTTTTTGCGAAAACCACCTCATAAACTTGTTTCTGGAGTCGGAATATACCACCACCCCTAAAAATGCGCTTATTTAAGACTCATCCTGTATAGGGCTTCCATACAATTTTTGGAAATTCATCTGTGAAATCAGAACAAAATCTGGACATCGTCAAAAAATGAAGAATGCATTTTATTTATGTAAAGTCTGACTAATGAGGAAAATACCTTACAGTGAGAATTGTCTGTTATTTATTTTTAGTTGTAAAAAATTACAACAGACAACAGGAATTTGACAGAAATTATCACATTCAAGTCAATATAATCACCAAACTAGGAAGAAGCTTCTATTCTCTGTTTATAGGAAATTACATAAAATTTGATGACGAACTTAGTGAACACCACGTGGAAACCTCGATGTATTTTATATACCGACGTATATGGTATTTTTGGGGCTTCCTGTTAGATTTCTATAAATTGAAGGATCTGATGACGTTAGTGCCTTGCTCTGGTGGTAATCGATAAAAGTGTTTTTCGCGTAAAAATATATTTCAGTTCCATTAATGAGAAAAAGCCTGTTGCTTTCAATAAGTATTTAAAATCTCTCGGCTTGCAATGTTTTTTAATTCAATTTAAAGCCAACAACTAGAATATATTAATTTTACAGATACGTTTTACGTATAAATAAATCAATAAATTAATAAATGCCTTTTTTGTCAAAAAATTTTACAATTAAAGTAAAGAAACAAAAGAGAATACAAAACAAGTATACAAATTACATTGTCAGTCTTATTATTTAAAATAAACATTTATAAATGTTTACACAATGTCAAAGAATAAAAAAATAAAAATAATATTCAAAAATATTTAGTAAGTTTATAGTAAATATAGTAATAGCAAATATTAGACCAGTTTAATTGTTAGACAAGATCAAATTCGATTATCAAAATATAAGTCATTTACGGCGTGGAAAGCCTGTCTAGTAAATAAGATTTCAATGCTGTGCGAAATGAAGAAAATGATGTTATGGATTTGATTTCAAATGGCAGGTGATTGTGCATCTTTTTTTTCGAGTTGTATAATATTGAACTTTTAACTAACTCTGAGTGTGGAGTAGGTAGATAAAGATCTTGAGAAGCTGATACATGCTTACGTATTAGGCAAACGGATTCAAATATAAATAAGGAAGGAAGAGTTAATATTTTTTATTTTTTAAAAAAGTCCTGGCAATGAATTCTGCTGTTTAGTCCCAGTGAATATCGAACAGCTCTCTTCTGGAGCTTGAAAATACGGTCAGATTGAGTCACACAACACGTACACCCAGAATGGAAGGGCATATCTGAGGTGCGACTCAAAAAGTGCATAATAATATGCGTGTACGTGTGCGTATACCTTAGGTTTGAAGAAAAACGGCGTCAAAGACGGCTGGTGAGTGACAATCGATCATAATTTTGGCGAGGTTAACCTCAAGAAAGCTTAAAAAGCATAAAACATTTCTAGAGACACAAAATCTAAAACTGAGGCCTCTTTCTTGAAAATGTTCTTATAATTTGAATGTTTTTATAGTGGTGAGTCTTAAACAGTGGTGAGTCTTAAACATGTGCAAATATTTTCAGGGCTGGTAGATCTCGATAAAAGAAACATATTTTCTCCTTGTCGTTTTTCAAATAAATCCAAAATAACCGAGTTATTTTACTTTGAAAATTTCCAAAAAGAGAACCACTGAATCTTCTTTCTTATAAATTTAATCTACTACCTATGTTGCCATATTATCAACAAATGTGTTTTTTAACTAAAAACTAAAAAAAAATCCCTGTTTCCAATTTTTTTTTCGCGAAAAAAACCTCAATCGTGTTTCTGGGGTCGAAATATACCACCCCTAAAAATATTTACACTTATTTAAGACTCACCCTGCATAGAGATCCTCTATAATACTGTAATGTTTTAGTGTTGATATTCTTCCACTCATTCAGTGCACCTATGTTGTGCGAATTTTAGGCGGGCAAACTTAAATAAATTCGTTGAAAACTCGATAAACCGGCGAAAAGTGCCGTAAATTCCGATTTATTTTTAGAAATAAGCGAGGCGTAAATGTCAATAGCGCTTATTTCAGGCACTATGCCAACGTTTTCTCGAGTATCGAAGCGCCTCGCCAGATCTTGTTTGTTTATACGCGTTTTCGAAACGTCCGACTATCGTCAGTGAGAAGCTGCTGAGGTAAATGGCGTTTTTTTATTTTCTTAAAGCGCCATCTTAGGTAATAAGCGGAAAACGACGGATTTTCAGCATCTGTTGATATGTTCATCCGACGGCGCTATGCTTGGTTAGTGGGTATCTGAGACAGTTTTACCAAAGAATTGGGAAGATAAGATACGCAACTTAATGGGCAAATTCGTGACAAGGCTGATTTGGTTTCCCCTAACGTCTCAAGTACTGTACGGTGGAGCCTCTACTTGTTCTAGCGACCAACGCATAAAACACTCATTTTCTCTAATTCGGCCAGCGAAGGCATATCGAAGACGGTGTAGAACTGAAAGCGACAGTGTTGCCATATTAAAATGTGTAATAGTTGTAATACGTTTTGACGAAAATATCTTTAAATGAAAAATCCGCGTTTATGTATCGAAAATGTATTCGTGTTAAACGTAGAATAAAAAACAAAAATAAAATTTCTTTTATAGGTACTGAATATTGTATGATCGAAAAAAGTCGTTTAGTTGGCTGGGAAATGACGACTATTGACATTTACCATAATATTTTACATACAGGGTGGCCCATCGAAAACGTTCCGAAAGGCATAACGGCTAGGGTATTCTTTTGTTCAAAAAATCCTAAAACACGTCAATTTTGTTTGTAAGGGCGACAACTTTTGCCCCAAAACTGATTGCGAAATCTTCAACCCTCTGAGCGGGGGTGTCATCTCCCAACTTTTTTCAAATGAAAAGGGGGGTCAAGTGGCGCCGCAATGAAAAGAGCTTTCTATTCTCTATATTTCCCCGCCTCGTTTTTGAAAATCGGTCGAGTCGTTGAGGAAATATGAAGGATTGAAATTTGAAAAGTTTATTTAAACATCTATCAGAGTAAATAATAAGGATAAATTCCTTCAACCAATTTGAGGTTTTTTCTTATTATTTCTAGATGTTTACGCATTTTTTCACTTGCCACAAGGTTGAACGATCAGGTGCGGTAGTTGCTAGATATGTAGCTGTTCTGTGACTTGTGCGTTGAAGTTCTTCTCAATATCGTTAAACTGACCTACAATAGAATTTCCAAAAATACCAGCCCACACGTTCAATTTCTGAGGGTTTTGTGTGTGCACCTAGTGAAAAACCCTGGGGTTGTCTTCAGCCCAATACCGACAGTTGTGCCGATTAACTACACCGTTCAAAAAGAAAGTACACTCATCCAAAAAACACACATTAAATAGGAAATTATTATCATTCGCCACTCGTTCACTCATAGTTTCACAAAATTGCAAGCGACGATCAAAATCGTCTTCGTTGAGTTCTTGTACCAACTGAATTTTGTACGGGTGGAACTTGCATTTTTTTAATATCCTTTGGACACTTGTACGATTCACGCCGGTCTCATAACGGAACCAGTTTCGCGAAATTTTGCTACTAACTCGCGAACAATTTTGACATAAAGGTGGTTGTCAAGATGGCGTCCATTCAATATCAGCGCAACCCGATTGCCACATTCATTATTTTTAAAATAAAGTTCGATTATTTCCACTTTTCCTGCAAGTGAGTATACCATAATAATTGTTAAAAAATTTAACGATATTGAGAAGAACTTCAACGCATAAGTCACAGAACAGCTATCTAGCAATGACCGCACCTGATCGTTCAACCTTGTGGCAAGTGAAAAAATGCGTCAACATCTAGAAATAATAAGAAAAAACAGCAAATTGGTCGAAGGAATTTATCCTTATCATTTACTCTGATAAATGTTTATATAAACTTTTCAGATTTCAATCCTTCATATTTTCTCAATGACTCGACCGATTATCAAAAACGAAGTGGGGAAATATAGAGAATAGAAAGCTCTTTTCATTGCGGTGCCACTTGACCCCCCTTCCCATTTGAAAAAAGTTGGGGGATGACATCCCCGCTTAGAGGGTTGAAGATTTTACAATCATTTTTGGGGTAAAAGTTGTCCCCCTCACAAACAAAATTGACGTGTTTTTGGATTTTCTGAAAAAAAAGTTACCTTGGCCGTTATGCCTTGCGGAACATTTTCGATGGGCCACCCTGTATATTAAAATGTAGCGATCTTCATTTCCAAGCCAACTCTGACCCCGTTCTTCTTTTAATCATATACTGTTCTATTAAATTGTTTAATGATAGAAAAATCCGTTTTATTATCGTACCGTACCCAAAATCCGGAAATCTACGGATTAATCCGTAGTTCTGGCACCATTGTCTCCGGCAACCACCCGCTCTGTCGACTGAAAGCAGAACTATGGTACTTGTGTTCTTTATCTGCTGCGCTGTAAAATAAAACGGCGCGGCGCAGAGGTAAACTAAATATTGGACAGGTTGACTAGCGGCGACGACATCGCCAGCTACATCTCGAACAGGTTTTGTGCCACGAAATCGCTCATAGGGTTGCGCATCTTCTTATTTCTTCATCATTTCGATCATGGTTTTCATGCGTCCTTCATACGTTGATACGTTCATCCGACGGCGCTCTCAGTGGTCAGTGGGTATCTGAGACGGTTTTGTTTTACAAAAGTTAGTCCATATCCTCACTTCTTAGAAAATATCCAGATTGATAATATAAAATAAGTCGTTATTAGAAAAATATTTCAAAATCGTATCCATTACGGAAAACACAATTACTCGTTAAATAAAACATGATACTCGACTTTTATTCAATAATATTCAATCATATTTAAGGAATTCGAAATCGAAAAAAATCAAAACAAAATTAGCGCGAACTGCACGAGTTCCCAGAACAAACCCGAGCTAATTACTTACGCGAATGTCCTTAAAATTATTATTCATCGGATTATACGTCGACTACTATCGATTATTTAATCGGTTTCGTTAATAACAAACATTATTGAAAAAAACGCTGACTGCAATTTAGAAATAATCTGCTGTGACGCAGTAAAATCGAAGCAAAAGTACTCAGGTAAGCCGAGACGGGAGGTACTATAGTACTTACTACGCCGATAAAAACGTTCGATTTAATACGCGTGTACCATTTTTTTATTGGTATATTAATGTTTAAATTTTGTTATCTGGTAGTTACGATACGGCATGTTCTCGAGTTCAAGGTGATGTACGTATTCACCTTTATCGTTGATTTTATGAATATCGTGTAATGATCCTAGATCATTTAAAGTGCGTCTGCTGGATCTCTGTCTATGAAAGGAATGCGGACAAAAAACATTTAAATAAACAGCAATATATTTTATACGTCGACTTGACGAGTACGTCACCGCAAATCGCTCCGCCCACTCATTTTATTGGCTACTTGCAAATTTGTCGAATTTTTATTGATGGGACGCGTCCTCTAATTTTTTACGAAAAACATCGAGAGAATATCGTTTCCCCGCTCACGGATACCCCTTAGCTACAGAACGGACAGACGTACTGTATACTTACGTGAATAAAATTAGCATTAAAAAGAGTGCCTCCATCATCACAAAATGCCCTTTTCATACCTTCTTTATTGTACTTATGAAGCGTTTGATAGTTATGTCCTTTCCGAGAACCTTATTTTGCATAAGTGCATTAAAAATTGAACGTATTTCTGTGACACACGGCCTTGAATGACGGCCGCGAGACGGCCGCGACGCGTGAACTAGCAACGGGAAAGGTGATAGCGGCAGTGTTGCCACATCTACCCCATTCGGGGTAAATTTTTGTAAAACAATTTAATCCCGTTATCTCGTGATATAATCTACCTCAGTGAAAAATAAGCTTGTGGTAACGCTGGAAAACGATCTGTGCCATACGCGGCTAAGAAACTCACTATAATAAACTGGAAACTGTACCAACCTTGATTTTATGCATATTTTCATTGATAGGTTTATAGCTTCTGAATAATGGTCTAGGTAAAGCACCTAGCTCATTTACCAGCTCAGAATTAGAATTTAGAGTTAGTAACTCGCATTTTCATTAAATATGACAGTGCCCTATTTATTTCAAACCAATAATCAACGAGAATATTCGTATAATTTTATAAAATTACTGTAAATCACTATAAATAATGAATTGTTTGTAATTGACCTGTAATTTATGTATGATTAATCCGGTAACTGATGGAGATAAACAATTGTGATTGATTAAAATTTTATTTTAAAATGAGAATTTAGTGAAATCTGTCTAAAAAAGACAGCGATTTAGAGTGACAATTTTGATTATGCAAAAGAAATACATATTCTATAAGTTTACTGGTTGCCTAACGATTAACATTAATTTAAAAAGAAATACCCAACCATGAATAATGAACAAAAGATTTAAACAAAAACAGACAGACTACAAATTGTTGGTTAGTAGCAGTTAGTAGTAGTCAGAGATATATGTAGATGTAGTAGTATTTTGGTTTAATGGCCATAGCTATCCGGCCGGGTAATAGAATTATCGTTTTTTAATGAAAATTAAAAAAATATATTAAGTTATAAAGCTAGAATAGTATAGGGTTTTATATTGACTCTAATTTTTTTGAAGTTTATAAACCAAATATATATATATATATATATATATATATATATATATATATATATATATATATATATATATATATATATATATATATATATATATATATATATATATATATATATCTATATAAATATATCTTTAAATTCTTCAATTTAATAGCTGTTAGTAAGAAGTTTCAATTCAAATATGGGCACATAATGCACACACAATTTTTATTGAGAGATAGAATAAAATATATTATTAAAAATGTATTTATATATAATATTAATTATTATATGCCAGTTTCTATATTGGTGGTTGTTTTTCTAGGTTAAGGCCTTCTTCATTCTTTATTAAAAACCTGCCTGTATCGAACGGCAATGTATCACATCGTAACTATCATTCTTTAATTATTGCCATTTGGAAAAATACCGTTTCAATAAATAATTTTGTTTTTCAATTCAGATTCCTTAAGGTTTGTAGCATTAAGGTAGGTCAAACTACTCACTCACGCAACGTTGTTAATAATTCAATGAGACTTTCGTATTTTTTCGGGTACTTACGTCATCATCAAATTAACGAACTCAAATCAATTTGTAATTACGGCCAAGTATCCTTTATAGAATTGGAGCAGGGCCAGTAAGAAGTAACTAATTAAAACATGTAGTCGGTATTTTTAATGTCTTTATTAAAAAAATACAATTATCCAAAAAATTAATCCGATATTTTGAATAGTATATAAGCTTCAAAGACAAACCAGGGCCCGAATTCTGGAACTTCGACATAAAAACGTTACGCTTTCAAAGCGGTAAGCGAAAGTATTCGATTTTGGTATTCTCGTTGCCGTGCGAATCGTTTTCTGGATACGCGTTGAGCACATATTGGCAGCATCGCAATTTATCTGGTATCTAATAGTCAAATGTGGATAAAACAATGAAAAATGTCACAATGTTACGTGAATTTCATAACCTATTGTTGAGTTATGTCAACCTATTTTTCCATGGATAAGTTATTATTCTTATTATACGAGGGAAATGTTGAAGACGCTTCTCAGCATTTTCGATGTTTTGAACAATATTTATAGCTGCCAAGTCGTAAATTATCTATTACTTATTGAGGAATTTATAGAAGAAGAACTAGTTTTCACTAAAGAGCAAGATAATGAACAAAAGCACAATTTTTTCTATTTTTACTGACAGTTCGACAAGCAAAACGATCATTTAAGGTAGCCGTTTTCGAATCGCTTAGCGCAATCAGTAAAGGCGCTAATAACGGTCTAGATAAAGCATCTAGCTCATTTGCCAGCTCAGAATTAGAATTTAGAGTTAGTAACTCGCATGTTCATTGGAGAACAGTCATATTTATTTCAACCCAATAACCAACGAGAATATTCGTATAATTTAATAAAATTATTGTAAATCACTATAAATAATGAATTGTTTGTAATTGAGTATTTATAATTTCTGTATTATTAATCCGGTAAATGATGGAGATAAACAATTGTGATTAAAATTTTATTTTAAGATGAAACTTTTGTTAACATTCTGGAAATTCGAATAACGAATTGAATAATGATAAGACAAGTTACAGCTGTGTAAAAAAGACAGCTTAAAATCTGTGTAAAACGACTACAAAGTTAGCCAGGTCAGTTAATTCTATTTTAAAAATGATTTCTATTTGTTCCAGGTTCGATCACCACCATAACAACAATAACAACGATGGTCACCTCCATCACCACGCGTCACTCGCGTCAGAAAGACTTACGTGGAGCGGGGAGAGAGCGGAAGCCAAAAGACTGCGTCTGGACATCAAAATGGAGGACGAGGAGGCGAACGACAGTTACTGTTTCCCCCCTAACGTACGACAATGCAAAGACAACATGTCGTAAGTATTTATTTCATCCAAAATTATTCCCTAATTCTTAAATACTAAATTGAGAAAAAACAGCGTCATAGACAGTGGCGCGGAATGACATCAGTGATAATTTTGGTGAGGTCAATCTCTAAAATTTAACATAAAACTTTTTAGAACGTTTCCAGACATACAAATCTATTTTCAAAAAATTGTCGCCAAAATTATCGTCGATTATCATTCCCCTGCCGTCTTTGACGTCGTTTTTTTTTCGCCCGTGAAATAGTGAACAGATTGTAAAAAAAATCCTATATAGGGTAAGTCTTAAATAAGTGCAAATATTTTTAGGGGTAGTATATTTCGAGCCCAGAAACACGATTATGAGTTTTTTGCAAAAAAAAATTTTTGAAAATTTCGAATTTTTGGATTTTTCTTTATTAGTTTTTAGTAGATTAAATTTACAAGAAAGAAAACCCAGAAGAGATCCAGTGGTTCTCAAAATTTAAGCAAAAAATATTTTTTTTTTAATTTTCAAAGTAAAATAACTCGCTTATTTTGGACTTGGAGAAAAATTATGTTTCTTTGGTCAAGATCTACCACCCCTGAAAATATTTGCACTTATTTAAGACTCACCCTGTATAAGTAACGGACAGAAAAAATTGTTTTTATTTTTAATTTTCGTTCACAAACAAAACTGACCTACATTCACAACAATCTCTCAGACCGTGTATATGGTCAGAGAAACTTGAAAGAAGCAGTTGCACAGTCCAAAACAACCGACAAGACTTGCTCGTTATGTCACTAATGATACGATTTCCCAATCTTAAAATATTCTTGCCAAGGTACGCAGGTGAAAGTGGTTTTGACTGTAGAGTTTTACCTGAACCATGCCAAAACACCTCTCTCAGATATATTTTATATAAGTACAAAACACTATCTATATAATTAAGATTAAGATCGATATAGATAATAAATATATTTTCTCAGATAAAATCTTTTTGATGATAATTTAATCATCAGGTTAATGAACAAAATATAGAAGTTGTTATACTACGTAGTAACCTAAAGAAATGCCAAAAATTAATACTTAGGAGTCCATTTCACAAGCCCGAAAAACTAGAAAAATAATCGTTCGGCATTTAAAGTTATTTTTTATACAAGACGATAATGCAATTTTATCGTCGTGTATATATATTGTACAATATTCTCTTCCATAGCGAGTTACGTTTTAAAAAATATTCAGATATTATTATTTCAAGAAATTGGGCAAACATGGGCATAGACAAACAAATAAAAAGAGACTGACAAATCTCATGGTAAAGAGTGGGACCGCGTTCCCGTAGCGCAACTCAAGAATAACCATTTTGAAACCAATTAGCAGGAACATGGCAGGACGTACGTCTTTATTGCTATCGTTCTTTATTATGTGTGCTTTATATGAAAAAGGAAGAGATAGGTATAAAACATATCCTAAGACATTATCGCAAATTCTGGCTGGCGGAAAATTTAAATTAGCCATTATTAGTAGTATTCTTTCATTCTGAAACTGCAAATTTTCACTTAAACTGATTATATATTCCCTATATCACGTAAAGGGAACGTGGTGTAGGGAATAAATCAGTTTAAGTGAAAATTTGCAGTTTCTTTTAGAATGAAAGAATACTACTATTATAAGGGAAATTATAAAAAAAGCAAAAATTGTACTGTTTTATAAACATATTTATTTATACATAAAAATAAATAAACTTTTTATAATATAATAACAAAAAATAACAGTGTTTATTCCACCCACCTACCAATTTTAAATGCAGAAGAACTGACTGTTGCAGGAAACGATCGGCCAATTTTTTTAAAAGGGCATTAAAAATCTCATTTTCGAAAAAACTGCCTAATTGCAATAACAAAGTGAATATCCCAGCAAAGAAGACTTTACGAGAATCATGATCCTGAACCATTTTCAAGTCCAGTTTTAATCCTAAAACAAAAGTAAAATAGGTATATTAATAAAGTTTCTGGTTACTATAAACCAGCTATAAACTACCTACCCAAAAATTGTTATGTTAAGAGAGGTTCAAAATATTTTTGACACTACTACTTCTACTTTTTTCTTAATAAGATGTTAAATATAACTATACTTACTTTTATTTTACCGGGTGTCTTTAACATATCTATCAGAGAAAGGGGGCACCAATACATATAAAAAAGAGATGATACTGGTTCGTGCAACAAATAAAATAACAAATAGTATAACCGAAAATTATATGTAACAAAATATAAATACCTATATAGAACAAAGGAATTTGTTCCCTATCCATATTTATAAGTCAATAAAATGGAGAGTTTAGAAAAAAGAAAAATTAACAAACATGATGAATTGTCATGATGTTGTCATCTTGGTTGTCATGATGACGAAAACGAAAGGCGATTGTTCTAATTTCTATATAGAAATTACGTTTTATATGGCTGCTTCTTTCTCTCTCGTTATATTAGAATGAGATAGTGGGCCCAATAGACGCAATACGCAGATCAACATAAATAGAACGAAATTTTGCGTTCTGAGTTGCGCTACGGGAACCTTGTTCCTCTCTTTGTCATTTAATTTGCCAGTTTCTTTTTATTTGTTTGTCTATGGCATTGCCTGGAAACTTATATGGTGAAATTTTGATAAAATAATTTAGTACTCACTAAAAACACGGTATGTCGCTAGTGGTAGGAAAAATAATTTTTAAAGGTTACTAGTTTATTTGGTTGCCTGTGATATGCATATACACGGTGTTTCCTAACTAATCTGAAAAATAAAAAAACGTTAGAAAACGGCTTAAGGCGGGCTCTTAATAGGTACATTTATTTTTTTCTCGGCAACCGTTTGATGAACAAGAAAAACTCAAAAGATCATTTTTGTTGAAAAAGGATGGCCAGCCAAGAAAAAAATATATTTTCACACATGAGGAATCACACCACAATTTTTTAGACTAATTAGAAAACACCCTGTATATTGTCAACTTGACAATGATTTTTGATAAATCAAAAAATACCTTTTCTGTGAAAAAAGCCCGATTTTCGCAGGAAAAATTTTGGTTTTTATTGAATTTGGGCCTGCGTCTGCAAATACCGGTATGTTTTTTAATATTCTATCTATCTAAATTTTAAATATCATAGTCAGAAATAGTTTTATTATTTATTAACTCTAAAAATGGTATACTTATAAGTTTTATCAAATATTGTGATTTACTTTCTACCTTGTAGTCAAAATTTATATTTAATAAACTGTAAAATATATATATTCTTATGTTTTATTAAACTTACTCTGATATACTAATATATCAGTGTAACTTTAAAACTAAATCCTTTGAAATCAAATATAAACATAAAAAATATTTACAGCAGAAAAGGCGAAGGCGCTGGGTTAAACGTAGTCTCTACTAAGAACACGGAGGGGCGCTTTGACCCAAAATTTTACTATTAAGTTTCATATCTATCTTAATAGAAGATTATTTTCTTTTATCTATGGTCTATGGTTTTGGGTCAATATTTTTTGATTCTCTTTCGTGTCGATTGCTGATTGAATTGGAGCCAGAAATGGCTCAAAACGAAATAAGTAAATTACCAACAGATATTCAGGCTGAGGCGACAAACGCCATATCCAAACTACTTCCATTTAAATCCGAATAACTTATGAAAAGGAATACAAAAATTTTCAAAAATGGAAGCAATTAAAAAACGTGCGAGAAGAAATAGTTTTTAACCTATCCTCGCTATAAAAGTATCATTTAATCTACCCTTGCGGTTAAAGTACTATTTTATCTACTATTTTTGATAGATATAAGGCAATTTTAACAGTTGCTATGGAAAAAACGTTTTATGTAAAACTGGCTAGGAATTTTTACACAAATGAAGAAGGAAATTAAAGATAAAAGAATATAATATATCCGTATTGTAGCACATTTTTAGACAACTTCTTTATTTTTAAGATTTTGATGGCCAAACATCAACAACATATTCCGTATGTTTGGACTAAATTTTCTCGAAATTAAAGATATAATTGAAAATTCCGTTACAATACGGAAATAGATTGAAGTTTTGTGATTACAGTGATATATAATTTATATGGTTTTGTAACAAATTGCTCCCTATTTTATGGGAAATGCTGAAGCCCTGCAAACCTTAATCAAAGCACGTGTGTTTGGAATTTTGGATGTGGTTTAACATGACAGGATCGGGCTCAGCCTTAGGCAGATATCTGAAATATTTATAATATATATTTCCTTCGGTCACACACCCGCTTTATCCGACCCCTGAGAGCGGCTTGAACAGCGTAATAGACTCTTAAAAAAAGATTTCAGATCAGTATTTTTTTGGAAAATAGGTTTTGTGTTTGGCTTGTTACTTTATTAATAAATAAATAGGAATAATCACGTTAAAACTACTGTTAAACTTGATATTTTTCAAATCGTGTTCTTAATTATTAAAATAAACTTCCTTTACTAGCGATATACAGTAAAAATAAATATTTCTATGTCACATCTATATCTTATATTGTACCTGTTTAAAAGAACGAATCTTTGTAGTACTCTAAAATTTTATTAACATGTTACTGAGAAATTCTAGGGATTAAAAAGAATAAAAAACATATTTTTGTACTCACTGATTGGAGAATATAGTAATTTTATTTACCAAAAATAAATCAATTATTTGTAAAGAAATTAACAAACTACCGAAATATTCCATTAGATTGGATGGTACCCAGTTTAAAAAAATAAGTTCAACGGTAGTGATGCAAAATATATTAAATAATTGAAATCTATATTTCTTATTCTATACTTTTCTAGTTATTTTATTTTTTTGTAAAAACTTTTCAAGTTATTTTTGGCAGCATCTTTTGTAACATTCGACTCTTTCTCTCTACTCTGTCACTTTTTCAGTCGATCTTACATTATCTGGCATCTTTTTTACTAATGCTGCAGCGTTCCTTAAGACCGTTATACATGTTTCAAGACGTTTCAAGACTTCGTGCAAGACAGTGCATTTTGCAACACATCTTTCCCAAAAGCATGCTCAATTGTAGCCCAGCTGATTGATATCTGCTATCTCTCTTACACTTGCAACTTGATTCTTCCCGATATTTCTGCAAGTGCAAGTCCATCTCCGGGGGAAAAATAGTAATTTTAGTTTTTCAAAGATAAATAAAAGTCCCTAGACCGACAAGTTTGACATTTTATTTGTTGTATTCTTTGGCTGTATTATATGTTTTTGTTTCTAGGACCCCCTGGTTTTATTTTTTATCTAAAATTGAATAGTACTTTGAAAAAATAAATTAATAAGGAAACTTATTTATTAATTACTGATCTTTATTACTTTACTATTAGCAACGAATTATAAAGTATAGCATGTTTTTTTTTATTTTTGCAGAATAATAAGGACAGCACCGTCAGTGTCAGTGCCATCTCTAAGTATATCGAACAACTCTAGTCCCAGCAGTAACAGGGCGGTGGCACGATGTAACCCCATCATCGGTAGGCAGGTGCCCACAACGCCCGCGTCACTAACCACACAACTGCCGTACAAATCACACTTTGGTGAGTAAAGTCATTCCTCTGAACAAAGCGTTGATCAATAAACAAACACATTAAGTCCACCTTGGAAGCAAACACACACTAAGTCCACTAAATGTTTTCAACTATCAAATTAAGACACTGATCTGTATCAGCGTCGACAATAAATCATCTCATGTTTTCTGTGTGTCATCAAAATAATGTTTCAATTTTCAACTCTCATCTTATCACAGTAAATGCTTGGTTTGTTCCGTTTAGTATCTTAATAAGGGATGTATCTTTCTCTAGGAGATATTGCACTGACCATAGTCAAACAGCCTGAACAACAACACAGAGCCAGATACCAAACAGAGGGCAGCCGAGGAGCGGTAAAAGACAGAGACGGTAATGGTTTTCCTATGGTTCAATTAACGGGTTATTACAAACCAGCAACGTTACAGGTCAGCAATTTCTTGTTTATTTTCAAAATTGTTCTGTTTTATACTCCTACCGTTATATCAAGTTACTTAAAAACTCTAAATTTTCTTTTCGTTTTGTTTTCCTAGGTTTATATTGGTACTGACGTAGGCAAAGTAGCTCCTCACATGTTCTACCAGGCCTGTAAAGTTAGCGGTAAAAACTCGACTCCGTGCTACGAGAAGAAAATTGATGGTACCTGTGTTATAGAGCTGGCTCTAGATCCGGCGAAAGAAATGTGTGCGAATTGTGACTGTGTTGGTATATTAAAGGTAAGTAAAAAGTGTCTAATTTAGTTTTCTCTCTCTTCGACACACATTTTTTCTCGATTTATATTACAAACGAAGCACTTTTGTATAGAGGTTAGTTACGTTTTGTTCACTTATTTTGATTCCAAAAATACATAATAGTTCTATGTCCAAGGAATATTGGGACACTCTGTATAGTTATTGGATTTTATTTTCTCGATTTAAATGAACTTAACATAACTGATAGTGTTATGATTCGCGGTTTGTACTTAATTTTTTACTTTTTTATTAATTTTCAGGATACTTAATCAATAATTATTCTATTGTAATCGCAAAACATTTTCCGATGCACGTCATCAATCATATCGACATTGACAGTAAAGTCTATAAACCTGACTAAATGAAATTTTGACAAAAATGTTTAAATTTATTGTATAATTTAAGATACCGAACAGCTCTTTATTTTACATTATAGAGCAAATGATTGTAACAGATTTTTTATTTAGATTAAAGCTGCAAAAATTAGTTTAAACCGAATTTTATTATCGCTATGTTGTCACATTGCGCCGTTTTCAGCTAGGTTGTCGTTTATTATTTGACAATTATCCTAATGTCAGTCATTATTTGGATAATATCGTGTTGTTATTGAATCTTTGTGACTAATTCTCATTTTTTTGCCCATTTCCTTAGTCTTTTTTTAAAAATTGCACTTTTAAGCACAAACCGTTCTTTTAAGAACTCAGTTTTCGAATTTTGTATTGCATTTCTTGAAATTGTGTGTTGAAAATATGCCGAAGCATTTAGACAGTCAAAGCAGAGAGCTTGTAGCCTCCTTTTTAAAACTATTTTGAATGAGAACGTGACAATAAAGGTATTACCATTGACTGCATTCGGAAAAGTAAGTTTGATTGATAAGCACATTATACCACTTTCAAAATTAGTTTTTATTAAATTATTAGTTTGTGCATTAATAGCACCCTCTTACTTGTTATTACCACTTATGGCATTGTTAGATGTACAGGGTGGTCGAAATTGGTCTGTGTTAACCTATTTCCTGACTAGATAGAGCAAAACCGATATAGATGTTATGGGCTCGATTTCTGAGACACTTTTAATGGCGTACACCGCCTGTTGAGATTTTCACTGCCAACTAAGATACGGGGTCTTTTTGAATTCCTTACCATTTGGAAAATTGCCCATAACTTTTGTATTTAGCGGAATAATAAAATTTTGTAAAAACGTTCTTAAGGCACTTTTTTATGCACAATCCAGTGGCGTAGTCAGTTTTTTTCTATACTTGCTCTTTTTGTCAGAAATAATAAAAAATATAATTTTTTAAATGGAAATCATAGTGAAATCATCAAGGCCCGCTTCGATATAAAGATATAAAACCAAATATTTCTCTCATTGTTAGAAATAGATACCCATTACTTTATATCGTTGGAAAGGATTAAACGCCAGCATTTTTTAAGTTCATAGATATATGAACTATGATTTCAATTTCAAAAATTATATTTTTCATTATTTCTGACAAAAAGAGCAAACATAGAAAAAAACTGACTACGCAGATTGTGTTTAAAAAAGTGTCTTAAGAATGTTTTTACACAATGTTATTATTCCGCGAAATTAAAAAGTTATGGGCAATTTTCCAAATGGTAAAAAATTCAAAAAGACCCCGTATCTCAGCTGGCAGTGAAAATATCAACAGGCGGTTTACGCTACTAAAGGAGTCTCAGAAATCGAGCCCATGACATCTATGTCGGTTTTGCTCTATCTAGTCAGGAAATAGGGTTTCTTAATAAAACAGACCAATCTCGACCACCCTGTACATCAATAAATAAATAATCCATAATATCGTTTCTAATAATCTTCATAATGGACTAGTTTTTGCCAAAAGTAAAATAAGCTATAAAACAAATAAATCAATTAATCACTAAAATATTAAATATTAAATTAAAAATAAAACGTAAAACTCTTTAAAAAATGATATAATAAATATGTTGTTTGTCAATTTTAAATTAAGATTCATCTCATAAATCCATCACAATCTGGCAGCTCTGTCGCCATCGCTTGTCACTCAAAGTTGATCACGTGCATCGGAAATTGTTTTGCGATTACCATAGAGTTTTTTACATCATCGATTGTCATCGTATGGTATTTGAAATTGATAATATTGTTTGCAGGAAAGGAATGTAGACGTGGAACATCGGTTTCCTGACCAGTTAGGCAACCGAAACAAAAAGAAATCAACGAGGTGTCGAATGATATTCAGAACGACCATCACGCACGACAATGGCACCACCGAAACGCTACAAGTTTGTTCTCAACCTATAGTTTGCAGTAAGTACTGTTTTAATTTCTTTTAATTCTAATGTTAAACATATGTTATTTATTGCCTTCTTGAAAAAGTCTGTTTTTTTTTGGTTACTTGAAGAAAAATCTACAAAGTAAAAAAAGAACTTCTGCCTTGCATTCCAACGGAAACCAGCTTGTCAGTGGCTTTTTACTACAAATTTGCCTGACTGATAAAAAATGCTTAACATTTAGAAGAGAGGAAGATCTTCCACACGTTTATTGCGCCCAGTCTACCAGCCAAACCGATAGCAGTCTTCTAATATAAGTTACCTTCTACCTGAACATTGAACACGCACTATCTTATGCCCCACGTTGGGCGCCAATTGGCAATTAGGACTATGTCATATCTCTTTTGTGTATATTGTTGAATATTTTGACTTGTCTACGATTCTCAAGTCATTTCAGTGCAAATTAACTTTGAGTCGTATATAGACTTTTATGATATTACGGTTTAAACCATTTGCAAAATAAAATAAAAAATATAAGATAAATATTACACCATTCAGATAAATGTTTGAAAAATATATTAGGTAGGTTGTACATATAATTACTTAAGTAAATAAATCATGGGAGTTTTTAGTAAGCCTCTAATAAATTCTTCAATTTAGGATAATTCACAAGTCCAAGTGATAATTTTTACATTGGACCCTAACAATGATATTCACAGTAGTATGAATCAGTTTAAAACTTGTGAAGATAAAAAACATATGAAGATATTTTGACTCTTCTAGATCATATATATTTCACATAATATACCGTTTTATATGTAAGAGTAAAATGATATATAAAACAATTCCAGAATTCCTAACTGGCAAAGGAGCACAACAGGGAGAAGCGACATCCCCAAAGCTGTTTACAGCAACACTAGAAGAAATCTTTTGTCAACTAAACTGACAAATTCTTTATTATGATTACGACACTATTCTTTATTACAATTACTTGGCGTCATTCGTAAAAGTGAAATCAATACATCTCAACATTTCCATTAAAGAGTACCAAATGCATTTGGAAGTATAAAAGGAAAGTTCAAAGTGCTATAAATAAAATTAAACGAAAAATAAATTTGTGCAATATAAGGAGGGTGGTAACCATTTCGAACATGTAGAGCATTATAAACTAGCTTGTAGAAGTTGATTTATTTATAATAACTACGATTAATATTATGCATTATATTAGATCGCACACTCAAATTCACAATAAAAAATGTTAAAAATAATATCTTTAAATTGCTGACCTGGATATTATTTATTTGAATATTTCAGTTGGCTCGATTTTCCTTATTCAATGTTAATTAGCGCTGATCAATATTGTTGCGATGAATATAACCAGATTAAATAATTTAAAAATCCATAGTCGAACTTGAAATTATTTTAAATAATAATTAAATAGTTTTGTTGTTATTAAGGTACCCAAAAGAAAAAAAATGTATAAAGTGTGGCATATCATTGTACTCAGGAGACCGAGTTCTTTCGAAACTTGAAATATAAAATACAGGTCCGTATTTAAAAAAATTAAGTTGGCCTCTGTATCTCACAAATTATAAGCTAATTTGAAAACCTAAAAATACTATTAGATAGCCCTAATAAAGTGGTTATGAGAATGTGTAATTAGTTTTATGATTTTCTAAAAACTAACGACAGGAAAAAATAAAATTGATTTTCAAAAAAATCTGTTTTCCACAAAACTCAGCAATCCTTGAAATTTTTAAAACTTTTGTTGGCATCTTGGTGAACATCCTAAAGCGCAACTTTACCCCAATTTAACCATGTTCGTATTTATTATGATTACCGAGATACCAATGCTCGTAGCACCCTGTATACATTTATCCACGAAAGCATGATTATGATCTGAGTGAAACTATCTTATTAATTTGACTTTTCTACATAAAACGATGATTCAAAAAAATTAGCAACTATATAAATATTTCTCCGTAATTTCTGCATTATATAAATAAATTTAGGTTTAGTTATCTTGATATATAATAAATAAGATGTTGATTGCTCTGTGAGTAACGGTAAATATCGGTGAAATTTCTCACTGAAATGCGAATATATTAACGGTGAAACCTGAGACTACTAAAATAAAATCGGACGCTCTCAGATTACTTTTAACGCAGCTGTTTTGATTATCATTTTAATGCACCAGTAAATTACTTTAATTACTTGATTGCCCGTTTAATTAGTCGCATGTGTTGTCAATAATTAAAGCGACCACTTTTTCTAAATCTAGTATGCGAATTTTTGCAATATTTGCGTCCGTTAAGTCGAGATGATTGACCTCACGTCCATCCAATAAAGGATTTGATTTTGATTGACCTGCATTAACAGGGAGGTCGTATACCATCCTGGCCACTTCATCTGCGTGGTGTGTATTTTAATGCATGCGACAGAGAGAAAAAATAAAAAGCAGCATACAATGTTGCCGGTTTTAACGTGTGTAGGAAAATGTGGTAGAAAAAAAATAAAATACTTTAAAAACTTTCATGTATACTACTAAAACGACATATGAAATATAATATATTACAGATATAGTACAAGGAGTAACTAATTGTGAAAAATAAAGTGCCAACCCTAGATGCAACATTTTTCGTAAACGCCTAATAAATAATAAATAACGCTTTATTGTACAAAAAGCCAAAATAGCTTCATCGATAAAGCATTTACAAAACAAACAAATGCACAAAAAATATACAAATAATAAAAAAATATACAATACAAATCATACAATTCAAAAAAATTTAAGTCATTAAAATTACAAATAGAACATACATGGACATTGCAGAACACAAAAAAGGCGTATCAATAAAATATTACAATAGGAAAATTGTAAATGGATATAATTTTAAGAGTTATGAAATATTAAATACTAGACTTTTAACCAGTTTTGAGATGACAATGCTCCTCAGCTGTTTTTAATGTTAGGTTGCTTTGTCTTAACAATCTCTCTTGCAATGATAAGTCTTTTATGCCAGTCACAATTTTATCTCTTATAAGTGAGTCTTCCAATGCCCCATAGTTACAGGTCGAAGCTAGCGCTAGCCCTTACATCATTTTTACATCTGTGATAAAATGGTCAAAGAATTCTTCCTCCTGTACACATGTGAAAAATTTGTATCTGTCATATGTTTCATTCCGTAACACCTTACAGTGCTTTTTAAACGCATTTATAACTTTCTTGTAGTGCTTCATATCGGTATCTGATAACTTAAAAGTTTGGACTTTCTTCTGTGCTTCTTCACCTGCTAGATTCAGTAATATAGCTACCTTTGTTTCATCATCCTTCGTATCTAACCCAGTGGCTTTTAAATGATGAAAATTTTAAAATTCAAAATTGTTCATGATTAAACATCAACAAAAAAGTCGTTTACCATATATAGAGCTCTCTCCAGTAAGTATGATTTCAGAGCTTTGCGAAATGCGGGAAAGAATGAAAGCGACTTGATATTCAAAGGGAGATGATTGTACATTTTTTTGGCATTGTACAGTATTGAGCCTTTAACTAGTACTGAGCTCGGGGTTGGCCGATAAAGATCGTGCTCCGCATTCCTAAGTGGATAGTTGTGAGATGGTCTTTCGGGAATAGCAGATATGTATTTGCGGATTAAGCAAACGGATTCAAAAATTAATAAAGAAGGAAGACTGAGTATTTTGAAATTTTTACCCAACATTTATTCCCAACAAATATCGAACTGCTCTCTTTAGAAGTTTGAAAATACGATCAAAATTTGTTGCGCAGCGCAGCAAGTACCCCAGAATGGCAGGGCATATCGAAGATGTGACTCAAAAAGGGTATAATCGTAACCACCGTAATAACAAGGCCGGACAGCTGTGACGTCACCAACTGGAGGCCTAACTCTATTTAGCAGCGTTGATAATTAGCCGATAAAAGTTCAAATTGTGGATCTTTTTTCACTCAGCAGATATATTTCGAAGTTTTAAAATGTCTTTTTCCGAGTTTTTAAAAATATTATAGTATATAAAAATAGTTTTAATAGAATACGGAAAAAATCATACCAGTCAATAAATGTTTACCTCTCACTTTTTGTCAATCAAATTTAATAAAGGAATATTTTAAGTTCATAATAGTGTATAGTATGAGAAAAAAACAATAAAAAAATATATTTTTTTATAGTATATATTATGTATTTCATCGATATTTTACGCCCCCTACTCAGGGTCGACGGTGCTAGCGGAGTGGTATTGCCGCAGTTGACAGTCATCGATTTATCGGTAGGTGTGTGGACGTGGCAATTATAATCGATAATAGAAGGGTGAAAAAGTTCTATTCAGAAAAAGTAGCTGGGACTCAGTACAGTATTTGTGTTCGTCATTTATATGAAGGCAAAAAGAAACTTAGGATTCAGTCATTAATGTTCCTAAAATCTACTTGGTTTGGTTCTATAAAAATCGATACTTTTTATGATTTTATGATGACAATACTTTGTCTAAAGAAATACCACGCGATACAAGTACCATATTGAATCAGATTGGTTTAACATCGACATTACTATTTCTGAACAAGATATCGAAAGTGTTAAGGAAGAAAGGCCTGTTATTACTTATTTAGAAGGATATTGCTGTTATATTGTTTTAAATGAAATTAAATGCGATACAGTATAATTACATATACATGTAAGAATAATATAACATTTTCAGACAACACTGATATTGAACAAAATTCACTTATAAAAAACCTTACTAAAGGCAGTCTTGGGTTTCCAAATGATATAGTTTTATTTGAATATATAATTTTTAACAAAGTTTTGCAAAGCCATGAGGAGTTTGTCAAAATTCACAATAAAAAAAATATTTTTATCAAAAATGTCTTTGGATTACATTAAAAGTAATAACACCATTATTAAAAGTTCCGCAATGTACTATTTATAATGCTAAGTTATTGTAAAAATTGTCATAAATTCTGTTAGAAATACACGTCAGAAAAACTACTGTTGTAAAAAAATTATAGACTTGGAAAAGGAAATAAAAGAAACTTAGACACACTTACAGCATAAATAAATACAATGATGATGGATAATGTGAGATCGGATATCAATCTGATGTTTTTTAAATTTTATGTTTAATTATTATTTATTAAAAATTCGGTGCAATTAAAGTTTATATCCATTATATACCTATAAAATGTATCAAATGCAATCAAAGTTTAGGCCTCCAGTTGATGACGTCACAATTTGTAATTGTAATAACAAGGCCACACGGCCTTGTTATTACGGTGGTTACGGTATAATAGGCTATTCTAGAGGTTGATAAGTTAAGTTCCTTAGAAACTGATCTTAGCGCAAAACAGGCAGCGCTTAGTTTCTTTGATAAAGCTTCGATGTGCAAGTCCCATTTTAACGAGTTGTCTAACCGCACAAACAATCTCCAACAAAAATAAAGCTATTGAGATGAATCAAAAAACAAACTGTCGAAAAAAGACGTACTTAGATGATAAAATTATTTTTAAATTCCTTGCTTTGTTAACATATTCCACAGGGTGTTTCAAACTTTCACCAAAATATCAACATTTTGTTTTCCATCATATAATTGACAGATGGAAACTTTCATTTTTAATTTAGAAAGAGATACTAAAAAGTCAAATAATTTAGCTACAAATTGCTTAAATAATCATCAAAATCGGCTAACTAGAACAAAATGTATTAAACTTTAAAATTCAACAAAAATTTAAGGTGCCCGTATGCGCTCTGCATAGTTGTGAAGAATACTATACAAAAATGTTTGTTACAGCTCAGCCACCAGGTATTCCGGAAATCTGCAAAAAATCGCTGACGTCATGTCCGGCTAGCGGAGGTTTGGAACTGTTCGTACTGGGTAAAAACTTCCTCAAAGACACAAAGGTATACTTCCAACAGTTCGACGAAGGTAGAGTGTCTTGGGAACAAGCTGTCGTACCTGATAAAGAATATTTACAACAAGTAAGTTGCTACTTTATTTATTAACTAGCGTGTACCAGCGACTTCGTTCGCGTCGAATTAATCATTTGTAATGGTGATGATAAAGCAAAGCAAGAATTTCCATTAACATACAAACTGGATAAAATTTTCTCACATTTATGTCAGCATGAGAAAAAACAATATGGCGATATTATTATATAACTTGGTATTATTTGAGGGGTAGTTTCATGTCGTTGGAATTTGACTTTCGAAAAATCCGTTTGCCCAAAATAAGCTTTTTACGTCAAGCAGTTTAAGCAGAATCGTGGTTAAGAAATTACCCAACTTTTTGGAACACCGTGTATGATTTTTTTAAAAATTTCAAAATATGTAAAAAAACCAAATAAATTATGCTTGTCCAAGCGTTTTCCCGAAAGACTAACCGTTTTTTAAATAACAAATATTGTAATATTTGAGGGGCCTTTTTAACCTTTTAGAATTTGACATTCGAGAAGCCCCTCCTTATAGAACCTCTACACCCCACAGTCAATCCGTTTGCCAAAAATCAGCTTTAAACGTCTAGCAGTTTAAGCAGAATCGTGATTACTCACTGGTGATATTTTATGAAACACCCTGTATAAATTTATAAAAAATCTTAAAATATGTAAAACAACAAAATAAAATATACTTGTTTAAGAGTTTTTCCGAAAAACTCACCGGTTTTTAAATAAAAAATATTTTAATATTTGAGGGATAGTTTCACCCCCTTAGAATTCGAGTTTCGAAAAATCCCTTCTTATCGAACCTCTACACCCTAAAGTCAATCTGTTTTCCAAAAATCAGCTTTTTACGTCAAATGCTTTAAGCAGGATCGTGATTAATCAATGACCAGATTTTTCGAAACACCCTGTATACATTTTTAAAAAATCTTAAAATATGTAAAAAAACAAAATAAAATATACGTGTTTAAACGTTTTTTCGGAAACTTGACTGTTTTTTAAATAAGAAATATTGTAATATTTGAGGGGTGGTTTCACCCTCTTGGAACTGGAATTTCGAAAAATCCCTTCTTATCGAACCTCTTAGGGTGTACAGAATCAACCTGTATGCCAAAATTGAGCTTATATTAATATATATATATTAGTATAGATTTTCATATTTTTATAAATATACAGGGTGGTCCGAACTGTATTCCGCAAACTTTGGAAGCATATTTGACAGATAAAAATAAGTAAAGAATTAAGTTAAATGTATGTCCTAAACTGGGCTTAGTTTCGGAGATACGGGGTGTAGAGGTTTCATTTTTATTTCGAGAGAGAGATATTTTCCAAATAATTTTTGTCAGTAACGTCGATATTTGGATGATTTTTTTTTATTTTTTATGACATGAGAAATTTGATTTTGATGTCAATATGACTCCTACTTGTAGAGGACGCCACCTTGACATTTTTAACTGGTTTGAAGAGTATTAACTTTTCCTTCCTACTTGTATAAAACTACAGAATAAAAAAATATATATTTACGTTTTTTTTACGTAAAAAAGGTCTCTTGGTAAAAATCGCTACGATCAATCGTTCTTAAGATTTTTAGAATGAAAATAATCAATACATGTCATTATTGATAAAAAATAAACATGTTATGTAGATAGTTATTTGACTGATATGATAAATTTGGGAACTTTTTATTTGTTTAAATTAATCATAAATTTTTCTTCCAAAAAATGATGATAAAACAGTTTCTGTTAAAATATACTAAGTGACATTGAAAATAGAACACCCACTAAAAATTGTTTAATTTTAATAATCTTTTGTACATGAATGTAGCTTGACAAGAGGCGTAAATGATCAAAATTTGGAGTGGATTTGGAAATTTGAGGCTCGTTACCTTGTCCTTGTTAATAATGTGTTGCACCACTTCGATGTTCTATACATTCGAACCGTCTGGGCATGGAACTAATCAGATAATTTATGTCTTCTTGCGGTATCCCATGCTAACTGTATCTCATGCCGAAGAGATTCTAGTGTCTGAGGAGGATGCGGTAAGTTTTTCAGTCTCCTACCCATGATATCCCATACATGTTCAGTCGGTGAGAGATCTGGAGATCTTGGTGGCCAGGGTAAGAGATTAACTTGGGCATTATGTAAGTGGTTCACAGTTAATCTTGCAACATGGGGACGGGCATTATCTTGTTGAAATATGGGATCGTGGAGCGTTCGTAAGTATGGTAAGAGATGAGCTTCCACAATTTCGTCAATATAGTGTTGGGCTGTCATATTACCTCGAGGTGACCTGCTACCATATGCGATTGCTCCCCAAACCATAACTCCTACAACTTGGTTTACGTGCCTCTCCATGAAAAACTGTGCATTCCGCCTTCCTCCAAGGTATCTTCTCACTCGCGCCCGACCGTCGTGCATTCCCAAACAGAATCGCGACTCATCACTAAAAACGATAGCATTCCATTCTGCGCCCTATTCTTGTTGGGCTCTGCACCACTCTAGACGTTGTCGTCGATGTTCAGAGGTCAATGGTAAAACCCAATGAGGCCGAAAAGAAAACAGCCCAAAAGACCGTATTCGCCGGTAAACAGTTCGCATCGTGATGAGTCTTTCGTGTTCCGTAAACCATTGGTTAGCAATTGCTCGGGAAGTGGCCGAAAGGTCTCTGACAGCTAATTACCTTAAACGGCGATCTTGGCCTTCAGTGGTTAATCTTAGACGCCCTGTACCTCTGGCACGATGTTCACGGTGTTGTTGAAAGTAAGCTCTACAACAATTGGCAACAGTGCAAACAGTGCCTATGTCTATGGACCCTATCAGCAATCTCTCGAAATGATAATCCTGCCTCCCGCAAACCTACAATCCGACCCCTATCAAAATCACTGAGTTGTCTAAAATTGGCTACGTATTCTAGGCATTATAATAAACTCAGAAAAACACCTGAAACTACTCTGTAGTAGAATAAGTAACAAACTGTGCGAAAGCCGGGTCTATATTGGATGACTGGAATTTTAACAAAAACATGTATAGCACAAAAACTAGTGTGTTGACGGCGTTCAAATTATAATCATTTCTTATCGATACAATAATAAACATGCTTACAAACATTCGTTAAAATTAAATAATATGTAGTGGGTGTTCTATTTTCAATGTCTAGTATATAATTAAAAAATAATTATATTATTTACTTTTTGGTTTGTTTTGGCGCTAGTGACATCAGCCAAAAAATATTCGAATTTCTTCAACTATTTCATTGTTGATTATTGATTCCTTCATATAACTTCTCTTGTGTATTTTAAAAATATTAACGAAAATACCCTTTACCCATCCTAATCAAACGGATATATTAATAACATAAAATATTGTAAATATACGTCTGTTTACTTTGATTTTAAAATAGAATTGTAAAAGTTCCATCATTTTTCATATCTATAAAATAATATCGTTTATTTTACTCCAATCCGCGCCTGAAGTTAGATACAACGATGTTGTTGTAGCTTGGGGAGAGATATAGTGTTTATAATTATCAGATAAAAGTAATATAAAGAAACGTAAATTGTTAATTCTGACGAGTAAATATTCGACAGGTCAAAAACCTCCGGGTTCTGATAAAATTTATTTGTTGAATTTTGCAGGCGATACTACTATGTTTCCAAGGACTTATTTTTATATTCATGGTCCTTATTACCGCATAAAAATGGATAAAAATAGTGAGTAAAATGCGATACACTCACTAGTTAATATAGCATATTAAGTAACCTCATCAATCCTATGACAGGCTTAGAGATCTAGCTTGTCATAGATACCATATTATGATCGAGAAAAAAACGGCGTCTAAGACGACATATTTATCTTTGTTATAATTTAAATTATTTTAAATAATAAAAAATATCAGATACTTCAAACAATCGTGTTAATTTTGGCACAGTAGCCATAGCAACAGAAATTTTTAAATGCCATACAGTTTTTTTAAAGTAGCTCACCTTTCTAAAGTGGCTCAACCATTTAATTGGCTCACCCTTCAAAAATGGCTTCCCTCGATACCTTTGTTATTTTCTCGGACAAAAAAATGATATTTGGTATGTTAGTATATGACATAAATCGGAATGGATTGACGTACTCAGTTATTTTCAGTCACTTCCTGTTTCACCGGAAGTGACTACAACTTTTGATTTTTAAATAGTCCCTCGGTATTTTTTTACTTTTTTTATAGAAAATGATACATATTCTGAATAGAATGACATATCATGTGTCAAGCTTTGACATTTTCGCTTAAAAATAGTATTTTAAATATCAATCTAGAGTGGCAGTGGTTGTGTTCATAACGCCAATTTGAATGGAAGCACCATGGAAGTGTGTGGTACCAAATTATTCGTAAAAAATGCTTTTTCCAAATGTGCTATTGAGCCACCCTAATTAAATTTAAAAAAATTAACTATGACTAAAAATACGATTGGAGCATCTTTTGGATCAAGTCTATTTTTCCTAAGCTCCTTGATTAAAAATTAGTGTCACAGCCATAGCACTTTAGATTGAAATTTGAAATACTATTTTTTTAAGAATATGTTGGTGTCATTCTATTCAGAATGTTTATTCACTCACTATTTAGCAAGAAAACCGCATACCAATATCACTGCTTTACGGTGAGCTTGTAGACGGTAAGAGGAGGCCGGGTGGACAATTCAAAAGGCACAAGGACATTTTCCACGAAAACTTAAAGAGGATTAACGTGCAGAATGAGTGGGAAGAAGCAGCTTACAATAGAACTCTCTATTAAGAAGAATTGTAAACTCAGTTAACCAGCGACAACCAAAAAGTTAAGAGGCAACAAAAAAGCAATGCGATTTTTGAATGTCCGAAGTGCGGTAGACAGATAACATCACGTATCGGGCTTTTCGGTCACAGAAAAGCTCATGAAAGAAAACGCCTTGTGTGACCATCTTCTGATGTGTGCCAAATACTCATCAACGAGTATTGGCTGTATGTATATATAGTATAGAATGTCACTCTCTATCAAATAAAGTAAAAAATATCGAGGGTATCATTTAAAAATCAAAAGTTGTAATCATTTCCAGTGAAACTTACTGAATACGTCAATCAATCCTAATTCATGTCATATACTAACATACCACTGTGGCTGAACCATTTTTGAAAAACACCCGTGTATGCTCCGTAGTGATGATGATAACATGAAATGTTGTGTTAGTTAAAATACATACAGACAGTAAAAATCCGTAACTTTTTTAGTGTCAATTTAAAAAATGTTTAAGGTTAATACTATATTTTTATATAGTATATAATATATATATTATATATTATATACTATGCCTATGTGGCGGATTTATCTCTCCAAAAAAATCCTATATGGGTATTTCGCCACTGCAAGAAAATCTACAAAATAAAATAGATATTTTTTCTAAACACTGCTGCGTTAATCCATTGAAGATTACTTGTTAGTTGTTAGGTTTACTGATAAACAACTAACGAACTGCCTAACGAACAAAAAAACGCTTAACGTTTCGGAAAGTTTATCTCCTTCCGTCTAGAAAAAAAATTAAATTAAAAAAATAATAAATAAAATAAAAATAAAAAAAACAAAAAAAAATTAAAAAAATAATTAAAAAAAAATTTTTAAATAATTAATTTTATTTTTTTATTTTTATTAATATATTTTTAGATTTGTATTTGCAATAGTTAATGTTTGTTTTTCTGTTTCAGACACACTTCGTGTGCGTTGTACCTCCTTACCGCAGACCCAATATAACCGAGCCGGTATCGGTGAAGTTATGTGTGGTATCGAGCGGTAAAACTAGCGATATGCATCAATTCGTTTATACGCCCGTTAACGGGGCAGTGAGCGGTAAGGACCCCTTATGTATCATTAAAACCTTTTTTATCCATGGCTGGCTTAATATTGTTACTTCTTGATCGTTATTGCGTCGTACCAGACTCATCCCAGCTACTTAATAAGCATCCCTTCTTTAAAAAGACGGGAACAATATCAATTTACTTTTTTTATAGCAGAATCATTATGTTGTAAGCTTCACAACTGACTCGAGTAGTGACAACTGACAACTAAAGTCCCTAGACATGTAAAGTATCGCTACAAAATAAACCTAACCTAACCAAAATAATTTTTTTGGGGTATTATGGTAATTTAGGGTGTATTCCGTTGCTTACCTTGGTTATAGTTTTATGTTCCGTTTCTATCGGTTTCCTGAAAGTTTTCTAATTACGGAACACGGTTCCTGAAAAATTCGGTTATAACTGTCACCAAACTAACCAGCGCGAGAAGGCTGGTTTTTCTGGTTTTGTTTGTCAATCAATGTCATTTATGTGACAGAAATCAAGCAAATATTGGAAGTTTGAGTGAAATTCTCATATAATTTCTAAAATTTGTAATAATATTTTGTATTTACATCCAAAAGCAATGGAGGTAGGCAGTAAAGGTAAATAAATGTTATTAACTAAATAGAATGACTTTTTAGGAAAGTCAGGAACATTTAAAGAAAACATGAAAAACAAGACAAGTAATCGTGAATGTTTTGTAAGCTATAAAAATATAAATATTGAATAGGTAGCTTTCATTATTTATTATTGATCTGTTTTAATATTGGACCTGCTTCGACGTTTCCAATATTTTACCAAACCGTTCCGTATCAAACCGATGTTTTTCAGGAACCTCTTACCGTTTACCGGTCTGGTTCGCCTGGTTTTGCAACGGAATACAGCCTTAGTGTTTTATTTCGCTGTGTAACACCAAAAGTTCCAACCCACAACTGTATCGTAATTCCCCCTATTTTAGTGCTATACGAAAACGGGAAATATATAGGGTCGCTGATACGCATGGGAACGGTCGATTATTAGGTAAAATATAGGAGGTACCGCAAAAAGTTAAATATAAAAGTCATAGGGTTTTTAAATATCTATTAGCGGGTACTAAATTTAAGTATATAGGATCTGTTATAAAGTCGTGACATAACAAAGTTTAATTTTTTAAATGGAATTTACCTCAAACCAACCGATTCCGAGTTATTGGCTTTGAAAATATCACTTAAACAATTCGATTTCATTAATTTCGATGTGTTCAGTTTCATTTAACGATGCCATTATGCAGAAACTGTGGATACTAAATATATTTGACATTAGTTTTCAAGGTATCATTTATAGATGTATAAAATGAGATTATATCAAGTTTAGAAATTATAAAATTTTTGTTTAACATTTCAAAATCAAAACTTCATAATTCAGAAATAATTGTTGAATTTAGGTACATAATCGTAATACACATAATGTACAGATCTCTAAATGAAATGATGAAATTATCTATATTTACATTGTTTGTTAAATTTATACAAATATTTCACCAGTATCAATCATTTTGGCGCCAAAGTAGCGAGCAAACAAATTGCTGTACTCTGATAGCCCAGGGACTTTACGTCTAGGTCCTAGGGATTTTTTTCTAACAATTTGCTTGTTGAATTCCAACACTGAGCACATTTGATATATTATGATCTAGTATGAAACTGCTTCAAAATAGCATTTTGATTTCAAGGGTTTATTTAAAAAAGGATACCATTAAGAAAACATTAAAAAATCGTTATACAAAGATGCTTTTCTAAATTGTATGTAAAAACATCAAAGGCATTTTGTTTTATTATAATCTAAGCGTAATAAGTGTTTGATTATTATTGATTTTAAGATATAATATATCTGAAATAATTTTATTAAAGGTAGAGGAAACTAACAACTAGCAGCATGTTTAGTTTCTCAAAACTATTCGGGTCAGTTGTCAATAACAAGTTTTTATATTTAATTCCAGCTTGTTATTTGGATAAAACCAAAGTACTACAAAGTGATTTAATCTTATTAAGATGTTTTTATAGAATTGTATAATGTGGTTCAAATTTTATAAAAGTTTTGGACACACATAGAGGAGCCTAAATTTAGTAGTCTCACACAATTTCTTTTGTTATTCTGTTTTTTATATCACATTCTATAGTAATACATAGAAATATTAAATTGTATTTTCAAATTTTAAATTAATTTTACTCAAAATTACTCAAAAACTTGAACAAAGCTACTTATGGTTACCATTCTGTTGTATATTAATATATTTAAAATGCTATAAAGAAGGTAAAATGTGCATCAGATGCCATTGAATTATGACATAACTAAATGTTTTCTCGATTTTCCCATTATTTCCCACTTTAAAATTGTAATCAATAATTGTCTGGAAATACACTATAAAGACAGTGTATGGAAGTTAAGTTAAACGATACATATTTATATTTTAAAAATATAAAATATATTTTATTTTAAACTTTATATAGATTTCCTTTTAACTACTATATGCTTAAAAAAATCCTGATTTTTTTTTATAAAAATTAAATTAATATACAAGGGTCAGTGAAAAGGGTGTACACCTGCTTGTGGTGCTATAAATCTGAACCAAAAATACTGCATGCGTTCATGTTTCTTCTTTTTTTTTGGCAGAGTTACATACAGCATGTAGCTGATAGTTTTTCCGAGTTATTTTCATTGAAATAATTGAAAGAATGAAGAACACTGACTCCTGTATAACATGTTTTTACATTATTTTACGTTAAAACGCTTACTATACAGGGTGATTTACAGCTACGCTACGTTAGACGTTTATGGAGAATCGGTGATAGAATATAATATAAAGGCACCTGCTCCATCTATTTAAAATATTTTCAGCATTACAATGTTGCCGCATCATTTGAAAAGTGATAGCATCTTTCTTATTTTAAATGGAACATCAGGTATATTATTACCTTTTTGGAAACTTACTTTCATATTTCACAATGATTCTATTATACTAACCTATACTTATCACGAGTAGTTTTTGATATAAAAAATAAAACTTGTGTAAAAAAATTGAAATACAAATAAAATTGCTTTTCAACGATATATCATGTTCCTATACCTAAACCTTCTGGTTTCTTCAGTAAAGCCATTTAAAAGATAATAATTGTATTATAGTTGTATCCTTTAAAGAAAATCGTTACCATGACAAATATTCAAACTTTACAAGTATCAATTAGACTTTATTTGCTAAATTTCTTAAATTATCATAGTAACGATATTTTTGAAATGAGGCTACAATAATAGAATTATTAATTATTATTAAATAGATCTACTTAAGAAATAAGGAAGGTTTAGGTATAGGAACATGATATATCCTTGTAAAGCTGTTTTATTAGTCTTTTGGTTTTTTAAATAACATACATAGGGTTGAATTTAAAATAACAAAGATTTGAGAAATTTTATAACAAACGGAAATAAATATTTTTTTGCTCTCAATCAGTTAATTTAGACACATCGAATTTCAATTTTGAAATGTTCAATTCATGATTTTACTGATGCTTATTCAAAATCATATTTTTGCCAATTTTACACAAGTTTTATTTTTTATCTCAAAAACTTTCCGTGATAGGTATAGGTTAGTATAATAGAAAAATTATGAGATATGAAAGTAGTTTCGAAAAAGGTAATAATATACCGGGTGTTCCATTTAAAATAAGAAAGATGCTACCACTTTTCAAATGATATGGCAACATTGTAACGCGGAAAGTATTTTAGATAGATGGAGCAGCTGTCTTTATATAAAAATTCAAATTTTCAAAAAATCACCGATTCTCCATAAACGTCTAACTTACCATAGCCGCGAATCGCCCTGTATAATGAATCGACGTTAATTACTATATATATTTTCTAATATTAGACCAGTTCAAGGCATAAAAATCGCTTTACGTCATCCCGTTTTATAAACACTATTATTTTTATTTTGATCCCAACGGACGTATCATTAAGTTTTTACGTCCTTTGATATAAAAATAATATTTCGAAAACGGCTTTTTTTATGAACACTGGACGATAATTTTTTTTATTATTGTTTATCAAAGAAAAACGCAATAATGACCGAGAGTAACAACCAGATTAATATTAAGCCAGCTTGAAGCATGAACACTAACAGTGTGGGAGAGAACATAGGCACTCTAAATTATACAAGTTAAAATTAGTTTGTTAAATATTTTGTTTTTAATTATAAATAGAGGATATAATTTACAGTGAATTGTTCAGAGTGAAGGTAAAAAATCGTTTTAGTTGAATCAGAGTAGAAAAAAATTTTTAGTTTAAGTTTTTTTAAGATAAAAACGATTTTTTATCTTTTATAATAATAGTAAAATAATTAAGAGGGAAAGTTGTGCACTCGGTATGAATATCGAGCGAATATATACCTGAGAATATTTAAACGCAAGGTATAGGGAGGGAGTTGATGATACAGTGAGCGAATCCGTGGAAGGTAGGATTTTTTTTGAGTGATGCAGTGCACAATTAGTCCCAAAAATTTACACAGGCTACACTATCGAAGAATATTTGCTAATTTTCACGTTATTTTTGTTGTCTTCTTTTCTTTTTTGTATATATACAATCCCGTCTAAGGAAAAAAGAGAATAAATTTAAATCGAAAATTTTTGAATATTATTTTTATTAAAAAACAGGTAATGTAGCCTACGAACTGTTTTCAGTGGCTTTGGAGCAGAACTTTTTCAACTTTTGCATTTTTTGTGTTTTATTTAGGAAAGAAAGTCTTCATTCATCGATTTATATATTTTTACTGTTATTGTTCCTTGTTTTGTATTAATATTTTATATATCTATATATCATGTAATATATATATTACTTATTATCCTCTTGAAATGTACTTTACTCTTTTGAATTGTATTTATTTTTGAAATTACCTACTTTGAAATGTATATATTTTAAAACTTTTTTGTTGTATACTTTTAAAACAATATTAATATCAATTTTATATATTTATTAATTGACTCC